TACATAAGAACTGTGTGCTATGTATGTAAATGCCTTAAAAAAAATTGACAATTTTAATAGCTTTTGTTGATATTAAATATGTCTAAAGTGGATTAAGTAGGGGACTTAACCATCATTGTCGGTGAAGCCCATTTCACAAGCTATTTAGGTAGCTTAACAATCCTACATCTCAATTAGGACCTAGTAGCATTTGTAGCAAAGAAAGTAACGATGAACAAGAACAAACAACTCCAAGATATGTAGTCAATTGTTCGACAAGGACAACATCTAAAGAGGTTCTGATTTTGAAGCATTAATAGTAAAATGATGGCTGATTTACTTAAACACCACAGCAATGGAACTAATAAAAATCATCCTTGCTGCTGTAGTTCATCAAAATTTTCAGTTTTAAAATTTCTTAAGAATGGGTAACAGTTGAAGGAAGATTTAATCCTAAGAAAAGGAGATGATAACAACTTAACAATAACAATGTGAATTTGAATCATAAACAAGAGAAAAATCGAAATTAAATTATTATTTGGCTCTAGGAATAAAATTACCTAACTAACAAGAGCCATGCTTTAATTGAACTTTAATTGAGCTAGATTTAGATCGAATTGAGTTTGCATCAGCATGGTTCAAGATGTAGATGCTTGCATGTGTATTATATATATGCATTTATGAACATATGTTTATATATCTATATGCTGAAATGAACAAAATTACCCTTATAAGAATGAAAATCAAATAAAAAAAAAATTAGCCTATATTAAGCTCAAAAAAAGAATCTAATGAATTGATTCCAACTCAGATCAAGATTGAACCCAAATTTTTTTTTATAACAGTGAGCTAGCGTAGAGCCAGTTCATGATAAAATCATTTATAATCCTATTTATAAAGATGCGCATAAAATTCCTATTAATAAAGCTGATGTGAGACATGCACACCATCATGAGCAAACATGCATGTAAATGTACACAAGCTACCACTTATATCACAGAGAGAGGGGGAGAGAGAGAGAGAGAGAGAGAGAGAGAGAGAGAGAGAGAGAGAGGAGAA